CAACTCTCGATTATTCGTGAATCATTGCAGAAGGGCATCTTCTATTTTGAGCATTTCTATGACCGTGCGGCCACTAAGCCGTGGTTCAACAAGGTTAGAGCGGAAAGATATTTTGTTACGTTGATAAATAGATTGAGAGCTAACCATTACAATCTTGGCTCATCCCTCAAGAGAAAAGGCTATATCGACAACGAGAGATGTGAATGTGGTTGCGAATGCGAGGACATACATCATGTGATTTTGAGATATTGTAAATTCGATGAGTGGAGAGCTGTTATGGAAAATGAATTGAGAGAAGCGGGTTATATGGAGGAAATAGATATTTTTCGTCTCATTCAAGCTGGAAATTGGAATGTTTTGTATATAATTTTTAAATTTATTAAGCATACGGGCAAAGTGATTTAGTGTGTTTGAGTAATCCTTAGGTTTAGACTATATGTGCCAATTGCTACGAGCACAAGGCACCTTTCTGTCCTCTTCCGAGGACTCCAAAGGAAAAAACCCCACCGCCATTTCAAAATGATATATGGCCCCAGCAGACTAGTGCGATAGTGTCGCGCGATATCCAATGAGCGTGCAGCAATGAACAGAAAAGCTGTACGTTCTGCCGAAGCTCAATAGAGATAACTGAAAGTCACTAAAATTCCCCATGCGGATGCATATCATTGGTTAATCAATTTCCTTTGTAACTCAGTCGATAGCCAATAAGAGGACATATAAATGTAATATATCGTTTTTTCGCTTTTTATTTAACACAACGATTAATGATTATTATACGCTATAAACCTTGCTTGATCAATAAGAAACTTATATACGGAAGCACATATCGAAGTATGTTGTAGTTATCGAGAACTAAGGTAACAAAGGTTCGGCCCCAGTGAAACGCATACTCCCTCGTCTTCGCCAACCGAAGGTTGGCAGCAGCCGGGAGAAAAATTAGATATTTAGAATTATTTCATGTATGTATACATGTGATTCTGCTAAATTTATTACTGTAAAACAAACATGTAGTAAATATTTTATGATTTACTTATTATCTCCGTGTTACATGCGAAATTAATTGTATACTTTCCCAATAGTCCGTACCGTTTAATTTGTATA